CATTTACGTGCTTAATACCGTCAACAAACATTCATTTATCATAACATTGAATAAAGTCTATACTTCCCACAAGAGTTCAAATCTTCAATTCACTGCACAGTGCTTTGAATACGGTCAATATTTTTTCATTTGCAGTGAAAGGATATTAAGTACTTGGGAGTTAAACTTGATGAAAATCTAAATTTTCACACACATGCACTTTATATTATGAATAAGATGTCAAAAAAATCATTCTTTTTAAAACGTGTTAGTAAAAATCTCTCCCTGTCAACAAAACTTCTTCTATATAAATCGACAATTGCCCCACACATTGACTTTTGTTCAACAATTCTCTTTAACTTACCTGCATATACAATTGGGGAAATCCAGTGCATACAAAACCGATGTATGAGAACAGTATTGTATTGTAATAGATATAATCCAATTAAAACTATGTTAAATGTACTAAATTTGTTACCAGTTTGTGATAGAATATTGTTTAATACTTTAATGTTTATATATAAAATGAAAAACAATATTCTACCTCAGTATTTGTGCCAAAATCTGTCATTGGTTTCTGACAGAAACAGTTACACACTTAGAAGTAGTAATAATTTCAATATAGGTATTTGTAGAACAACTCAGATGAAAAACACTGTATTTTATAAAGGATTGGTACAATTTAATTTACTACCAGCTAAAATAAAAGAAAGCTTTAATATTAAACATTTTAAGACAAATTTACTTGAGCACTTCCGTAGAATCTGTGATTAGATATATATAAATTATTTATATTTTTATTGTTATACTGTACATATCTTGTATACATGTTATATTTATATTGTTATTTTTTGTATAGGTATGAGATAGCTTTCTTGCTAAATAAAGATTATTATTATTATTATTATTAAAATTAAAATTATCTAATGCAGGGCTTCTAGTAAAAAAAATGAATATTTTAATGATATAATGCCTTTTTTGAAAATAATGACAAAATAATGATTTTTTATTTTAAAAAATTCCTATTTTATGACTTTCTATCCCAATGAAAATAAATTATAAGCTGGAAAATAGTATTAATACCTACTTTTAAATAGTTTTATTCTTAATATTTATTGTTTTGACAATAACAAGATGAAATTAATTAAATGTTTGTTATTCACAATTTTCACTTCAGATATGCCAGATATTCTAAATTATTGTTCTGTTCAACTTTATGCGGATGATACCCAACTGTATATGTCATGTTTTCCATGCAATGTAAATGAAACAATATGTAATATAAACAAAGATCTTAAAGGTGTGAGTGAGTGGTCTACTAACAATGGGCTACTATTAAATCCTAACAAATCCGTGGCCATGTGTCTGGGTTCAACTATTTTATGTGCAAAAACTGCTAGAATAATAAACTATGATATATTAATTAATGATTCTGTGATAATACTACAAGACTATGCTAAAAACTTAGGTGTAATAATGGACTGCAATTTGAACTTTGAGAGGCATGTTACCAAACTCTGTTCCGGTGCTTTTGTGAAATTTAAATCAATATATAAGTTTAAAAAGGTATTAAGTAGTGATGTAAAATGGAATTTATGTCAGGCTGTTATTTTGAGTAATTTTAATTATTGTGGTGCTGTCTACTTCAACTATGCAAATAAAAAAATTCAAAATTTACTTCAAAAAGTACAAAACTGCTGCTTAAGATATTCTTATAATGTTAGCTTCAGAGATCATGTAGGTCCACACTATATTAGGTTAAATATTTTGAAATGTGTATATGTCTTTTACAAGCAATTTGCGACTCTGTTGTTCAATATTATTAAAACTAAATTACCCTTATATTTATTTTCACTCTTGGAATATAGATATAATAGTCATGATGTAAATGTTAGAAGTAATTGTTTGTTGTCAATTCCATACCATAAAACAAAAAAATTTGAGAGTTCCTTCGAATATTTGGCTGCCAGCATTGTGAATAAAAATTTTATTTTGTGGAGTAGTGATATATCCCTTGGGACTTTTAAAATTAATATCTTAAAAATTTTATTAGAGATCCAAGCCAAAGAAATTTTGTAATCTTATAATTATAATGTGTTGTTGATATTTGTTAGTTTTTATATACTTATTGTTTATTTACAATTTAAAATTATTTTTGTTTGCTGGGTGAGTGGAAGATCAGTGAAGCTGAACTCATTCCTTTTGTGATACATGTATTGTACTGTTTTTCACAATAAAGTTATTATTATTATTATATTATTATTATTAAATTCTCAAATTAAATTTAAGAAATTAACTTAAAAACAATCACTTTTTGAGAGTTAAGACAAACCACATTCTGCGGCAAGCGTTTCATTAAGCATCATTAGTATTTTGCTTTTTATTAGAAGAGCAAACAAACTGCTGGATCAAATCGTTCTCCCGTTTATTTTTTTTATAATAAGCTATTCTGACTTTTGTCTTCCATAGCTTTCTGTTTTTTGTATCCTTCCAAAATGGGCTATCATTGCCCCCTCTAGGTCGCCATTATTTAAAGCTTTTTCTAAACGATCAGATGCCTCTGACAGCAGTGTTTGCAACTCCTTTTCTGTTTTTCTAATTTCTTTTTTGTTGGTTTCGACCTTTTCTTCTAGAATTTACACAAGACACAATTTTACATAGCATTTTAAAGATTGAAAGTTTTAAGCTAATTTAAAATATTTTTTGTAAAGAAATGTGTATTAAATTAAATTTACTACCTAGTAGCACATTTTTTTCCAAAAAAATAATTTAAATTGACTAAAAACTTTTAATCTTTAAAATATTCTGTATCCCTTATGGGATAATTGGGATAAAATGGGCGACAATTCCACTGTTTTATTCAAAAATAAGAAAACAAAACCCAGAGCACTTGCCTGCGCGTTGGGCCAAAAACATGTTTATTTTGATTTATTAAAAAGTAATTTTTTAAAGAAATATTATGAGTATGAGTATGAGTATAAGAGACGTATAACCAGCCCCATTTCCTCTTGACTCTCGAACCCCGTACAGGCCTATGTTTACTTACGCCGATTTTTGTTCTTCCCCAGCAACTTCACGGCTTCACCCGTGTTTGCTGGGTGCGAATGTCCATTGCGTTCCGTACTGTCCCCTATTTGGAGCTCGAGAGCGAGAGACGAATAGTTATAATAGCCATTCCCGGGTTCGCCGAGCCTATGCTATACGCTCAGTGGGGTATGGAGAAGGGACGGGAGGGTGTTGGTTTTTGGGGGACAATTACGCCGACTTAAAACTAAGTACGACGCGGAATCCCCCTAGACCAGTCGATTAATATTACTCCAAACATTTGGGATTACTATTTGGAGTTGGGGAGTTGTTATTGCTGCAGTGTGTAGTTACCTAGTCGAGGTCTTCGTCTTGTTCATTATTGTCCGTGTCGGATAGTTCCTGAACTTGGTAAAGTGGGTCGGTTGTTTTTTTTTTATTTTGTTTTTATTGTTGCTAAGTTGCTCCCAACTGGTCTTGTTAATTTGTGAGAAGTGCATGTTTTGTGCTAACGTGTCATGAAATGTGAAGCATGGTCTCCCGACTTTTTTGTCTTTAAGATCTAGTTTAAGGGTGGCTTGTAGTATGTTGTTGCGTTGTCTACGAGTGACGTGGGCCCAGTATTTTAGTTGGGCCACTCTTATCCTTTTGGTGATGGTTTCTCCCATCAGCAGGTCGCGGGGATGTTGTAGATGGTAGTCGGGTAAGTCCGTCGTTAGTAGTGCAACGATCTAACGTTCAAGCTTGCGTAATTTTTGTCTGTTTGCTTTAGTTAGCGCGCAGGTGTTTAGGCGCTATGTTAACAAATTTTATTTTTCTAAAAATTCGATAATATTTTCAACCCTGCTTCTTTCACTTTTTTTTGATTAAATTATAATAATTATTGTTACATAATTACTACAATTATTGTAACTTAATTTTCCGTAAATTCGATAATTTTATTTACCCAATTCGTTATTTCAACTTTTACATCTGGCAACACTGCTATTCACACACAACTGTTTATGTTATTTTTTGTCTTCTTGCATGTTTGGTTTATAAAGATTATAAAGTTTATATAAGATAAATAAATCTTACGCCTTTTTCGATGGTTGTTTATGATTTGTCTGCTATGAGAAAATGAGGTTGCTTGTTTAAACTTACGGAAATGTTCTTATTCTTTTTTAATTTAGTTTTTGAGACAATAAAAGAATTCTTAGTATTTTCTTTTTGCAACATTGTGAAATGCTTATATAAACATTGTGAAATGCTTTTATAAACATTTAGCGAATACGGTAAGACATGCAATTGGAAAAAAATAACTTAGCTTGATTATTTGGTGCTGAAATTGATCCATTTGGCATGCCCCTCGCACGTGTGGTAGCCCAGTAAATTTCGTGGAACTGATCGTCTCTCTCACACCTTTTAACCAGGTCCAACACTTGAGGATTTAATCCAGCGGGAGGTACCACACACAATTTGCACTCTTTTGCACTTGGGACAGTTATCACGTTTAGAATCGATTGATTTTTTATTATTTTTTATTATTTTTTATTATTTTACGGCGTTAACCAGTTATCACGTTACTACGTTTGTATCGTATACGCTGCTTAAGAGAGATCTCGATGAGCATATGCTTACACTTCAAGCGTCAAGAGCAGACTGTAGAAATATTATAAAGCAGTCATTGAATAAATTTAAAAGTAAAATCCTTGAAAGGAAAGAAAGAAGAAACTACAACAAAGCACATAACTGCAATTAAGCAACTTCAATCTACCAATTTTTATTTTAAAATTTAAAGCCCCAGAAGTTGTTTAATTTAAAAAAAAAAATTTTTTCCTTTTAATATGATATTTTTTAAAAAATTAAGTATTGTAGAGTGTTTTTTAAAGAAACTTTGTCTAAGAAAATCGATTTGAGTGAAACCTGTGAATATTGTAATCTTGTTAATGATTACTTTAGAGTTCTTTCATATGTTAAATAACATTTAACAGCTGGTTATTTATGGGCTTACTTACCCCAAAATCAGTCAAAGCCAGCGTATGTTTCCTACCGCAAGACACACTGAGCACCTTAACTTTCATGTCGCTTAAGGTTTGAACAGGTCTGGGTGGACTGCTTTGAGTGAGAAGCGGTCCTAAACCCAAACACCCGGATTTAGACATTCCCATCGTGTAGACAGCGTTATTTCGTATCACGGCAGCGTGTTCGTGGCCACAGCTTAGAGGGTGCAAATCCGGAAAATTTCTGATAGGAACTTCTTCGGACGTTTCATCCGGTAAAGTCATTTTGTCCAAATAACTTGAATCGTATCTAAAAAGTACAAACAACAATTAAGGAAATATATGGCACGCCGTTTTAGCATTTATTAGATAATGGTTTGAAGATTAAAGTTTAGCCCTTTAATGATGTTTTAACAGAAATTTACAGTTATTTTTTTTAGACTCAAAACAATTGATAGTCAAAAAATATTTAAAATATAAAATAAATATGTAAAAGTTAGCGTGCGGTTTGCGGAATTTTCGAATGTAACTTCCAAACGCGAAAAGATACGAAAGTGCGGTTTGATTTTTTGGAATCAGCGTTGTCAAATTAGTTGGGAAAAATTATTTTTGCAACTTTTTTTTTCATGTTTTTCAGAAAAAATTTCATAAGGGGGACTCTTTTGAAAAAAATATGGCGATTTTCGAGTGTAACTTCCAAACGTGAAGAGATACGAAAGTGCGGTTTAATTTTTTGGAATCAGCGTGCTCAAATTAGTAAGGAAAAATTATTTTTGCAACTTTTTTTTTCATGTTTTTCAGAAAAAATTTCATAACGGGGGACCCAATAACTAAGGAAAAATTATTTTTCCAACTTTTTTTTTCATGTTTTTCAGAAAAAAAATATCGCGATTTAAGAGTGTAACTTTCAAACGCGAAGAGATACGAAAGTGCGGTTTGATTTTTTGGAATCAGCGTGGTCAAATTAGTTAGGAAAAACTATTTTTGCAACTTTTTTTTCAAGTTTTTCAGAAAAAAATTCATAAGGGGGGACCCTTTTGAAAAAAGTATCGCGATTTTCGAGTGTAACTTCCAAACGCGAAGAGATACGAAAGTGCGGTTTGATTTTTTGGAATCAGCGTTGTCAAATTAGTTTTTGCAACTTTTTTTTTTCAAGTTTTTCAGAAAAAATTTCATAAGTTTTTCAGAAAAAAATTCATAAGGGGGGACCCTTTTGAAAAAAATATCGCGATTTTCGAGTGTAACTTCCAAACGCGAAGAGATACGAAAGTGCGGTTTGATTTTTTGGAATCAGCGTGGTCAAATTAGTAAGGAAAAATTATTTTGCAACTTTTTTTTTCATGTTTTTCAGAAAAAATTTCATAACGGGGGACCCAATAACTAAGGAAAAATTATTTTTCCAACTTTTTTTTCATGTTTTTCAGAAAAAAAATATCGCGATTTTAGAGTGTAACTTTCAAACGCGAAGAGATACGAAAGTGCGGTTTGATTTTTTGGAATCAGCGTGGTCAAATTAGTTAGGAAAAACTATTTTTGCAACTTTTTTTTCAAGTTTTTCAGAAAAAAATTCATAAGGGGGGACCCTTTTGAAAAAAGTATCGCGATTTTCGAGTGTAACTTCCAAACACGAAGAGATACGAAAGTGCGGTTTGATTTTTTGGAATCAGCGTGCTCCAATTAGTAAGGAAAAATTATTTTTGCAACTTTTTTTTTCATGTTTTTCAGAAAAAATTTCATAACGGGGGACCCAATAACTAAGGAAAAATTATTTTTCCAACTTTTTTTTTCATGTTTTTCAGAAAAAAAATATCGCGATTTTAGAGTGTAACTTTCAAACGCGAAGAGATACGAAAGTGCGGTTTGATTTTTTGGAATCAGCGTGGTCAAATTAGTTAGGAAAAACTATTTTTGCAACTTTTTTTTCAAGTTTTTCAGAAAAAAATTCATAAGGGGGGACCCTTTTGAAAAAAGTATCGCGATTTTCGAGTGTAACTTTCAAACGCGAAGAGATACGACAGTGCGGTTTGATTTTTTGGAATCAGCGTGGTCAAATTAGTTAGGAAAAACTATTTTTGCAACTTTTTTTTCAAGTTTTTCAGAAAAAAATTCATAAGGGGGGACCCTTTTGAAAAAAGTATCGCGATTTTCGAGTGTAACTTCCAAACACGAAGAGATACGAAAGTGCGGTTTGATTTTTTGGAATCAGCGTGCTCCAATTAGTAAGGAAAAATTATTTTTGCAACTTTTTTTTTCAAGTTTTTCAGAAAAAATTTCATAACGGGGGACCCTTTTGAAAAAAATATCGCGATTTTCGAGTGTAACTTCCAAACGCGAAGAGATACGAAAGTGCGGTTTGATTTTTTGGAATCAGCGTGCTCCAATTAGTAAGGAAAAATTATTTTTGCAACTTTTTTTTTCATGTTTTTCAAAAAAAATTTCATAAGGGGGGACCCTTTTGAAAAAAATATCGCGATTTTCGAGTGTAACTTCCAAACGCGAAGAGATACGAAAGTGCGGTTTGATTTTTTGGAATCAGCGTGGTCAAATTAGTTAGGAAAAATTATTTTTGCAACTTTTTTTTTCATGTTTTTCAGAAAAAATTTCATAAGGGGGGACCCTTTTGAAAAAAATATCGCGATTTTCGAGTGTAACTTCCAAACGCGAAGAGATACGAAAGTGCGGTTTGATTTTTTGGAATCAGCGTGCTCCAATTAATAAGGAAAAATTATTTTTGCAACTTTTTTTTTCATGTTTTCAGAAAAAATTTCATAAGGGGGGACCCTTTTAAAAAAAATATCGCGATTTTCGAGTGTAACTTCCAAACGCGAATAGATACGAAAGTGCGGTTTGATTTTTTGGGGGGACCCTTTTGAAAAAAATATCGCGATTTTCGAGTGTAACTTCCAAACGCGAAGAAATACGAAAGTGCGCTTTGATTTTTTGGAATCAGCGTGGTCAAATTAGTTAGGAAAAATTATTTTTGCAACTTTGTTTTTCAAGTTTTTCAGAAAAAAATATCGCGATTTTCGAGTGTAACTTCCAAACGCGAAGAGATACGAAAGTGCGGTTTGATTTTTTGGAATCAGCGTGGTCAAATTAGTTTTTGCAACTTTTTTTTTCAAGTTTTTCAGAAAAAATTTCATAAGTTTTTCAGAAAAAAATTCATAAGGGGGGACCCTTTTGAAAAAAATATCGCGATTTTCGAGTGTAACTTCCAAACGCGAAGAGATACGAAAGTGCGGTTTGATTTTTTGGAATCAGCGTGGTCAAATTAGTAAGGAAAAATTATTTTTGCAACTTTTTTTTTCATGTTTTTCAGAAAAAATTTCATAACGGGGGACCCAATAACTAAGGAAAAATTATTTTTCCAACTTTTTTTTCATGTTTTTCAGAAAAAAAATATCGCGATTTTAGAGTGTAACTTTCAAACGCGAAGAGATACGAAAGTGCGGTTTGATTTTTTGGAATCAGCGTGGTCAAATTAGTTAGGAAAAACTATTTTTGCAACTTTTTTTTCAAGTTTTTCAGAAAAAAATTCATAAGGGGGGACCCTTTTGAAAAAAGTATCGCGATTTTCGAGTGTAACTTCCAAACACGAAGAGATACGAAAGTGCGGTTTGATTTTTTGGAATCAGCGTGCTCCAATTAGTAAGGAAAAATTATTTTTGCAACTTTTTTTTTCAAGTTTTTCAGAAAAAATTTCATAACGGGGGACCCTTTTGAAAAAAATATCGCGATTTTCGAGTGTAACTTCCAAACGCGAAGAGATACGAAAGTGCGGTTTGATTTTTTGGAATCAGCGTGCTCCAATTAGTAAGGAAAAATTATTTTTGCAACTTTTTTTTCATGTTTTTCAAAAAAAATTTCATAAGGGGGGACCCTTTTGAAAAAAATATCGCGATTTTCGAGTGTAACTTCCAAACGCGAAGAGATACGAAAGTGCGGTTTGATTTTTTGGAATCAGCGTGGTCCAATTAGTTAGGAAAAATTATTTTTGCAACTTTTTTTTTCAAGTTTTTCAGAAAAAATTTCATAAGGGGGGACCCTTTTGAAAAAAATATCGCGATTTTCAAGTGTAACTTCCAAACGCGAAGAGATACGAAAGTGCGGTTTGATTTTTTGGAATCAGCGTGGTCAAATTAGTTAGGAAAAATTATTTTTGCAACTTTTTTTTTCATGTTTTTCAGAAAAAATTTCATAAGGGGGGACCCTTTTGAAAAAAATATCGCGATTTTCGAGTGTAACTTCCAAACGCGAAGAGATACGAAAGTGCGGTTTGATTTTTTGGAATCAGCGTGCTCCAATTAATAAGGAAAAATTATTTTTGCAACTTTTTTTTTCATGTTTTTCAGAAAAAATTTCATAACGGGGGACCCAATAACTAAGGAAAAATTATTTTTCCAACTTTTTTTTTCATGTTTTTCAGAAAAAAAATATCGCGATTTAAGAGTGTAACTTTCAAACGCGAAGAGATACGAAAGTGCGGTTTGATTTTTTGGAATCAGCGTGGTCAAATTAGTTAGGAAAAACTATTTTTGCAACTTTTTTTTCAAGTTTTTCAGAAAAAAATTCATAACGGGGGACCCAATAACTAAGGAAAAATTATTTTTCCAACTTTTTTTTTCATGTTTTTCAGAAAAAAAATATCGCGATTTTAGAGTGTAACTTTCAAACGCGAAGAGATACGAAAGTGCGGTTTGATTTTTTGGAATCAGCGTGGTCAAATTAGTTAGGAAAAACTATTTTTGCAACTTTTTTTTCAAGTTTTTCAGAAAAAAATTCATAAGGGGGGACCCTTTTGAAAAAAGTATCGCGATTTTCGAGTGTAACTTTCAAACGCGAAGAGATACGAAAGTGCGGTTTGATTTTTTGGAATCAGCGTGGTCAAATTAGTTAGGAAAAACTATTTTTGCAACTTTTTTTTCAAGTTTTTCAGAAAAAAATTCATAAGGGGGGACCCTTTTGAAAAAAGTATCGCGATTTTCGAGTGTAACTTCCAAACACGAAGAGATACGAAAGTGCGGTTTGATTTTTTGGAATCAGCGTGCTCCAATTAGTAAGGAAAAATTATTTTTGCAACTTTTTTTTTCAAGTTTTTCAGAAAAAATTTCATAACGGGGGACCCTTTTGAAAAAAATATCGCGATTTTCGAGTGTAACTTCCAAACGCGAAGAGATACGAAAGTGCGGTTTGATTTTTTGGAATCAGCGTGCTCCAATTAGTAAAGAAAAATTATTTTTGCAACTTTTTTTTCATGTTTTTCAAAAAAAATTTCATAAGGGGGGACCCTTTTGAAAAAAATATCGCGAT